GACTCATCAGTTACTAGGAAACCAGAGAGGAGGCCGTTTCTCACTATCCCTTTGGTTAACAACCATTAAGGGGGCCATATTTCTCTTTAATAGCCCGGCATGGTGAAGCCATTCTGGTCCAAGAATCAGCAAGTACCCACTGGAGCAGGGGACAAGCGCTTAGGCAGGTGCTGATCAGTTCTGATTAAGAGGAAGGGTCAAAACGAATTTAAGAGCAAAACCCAAATTTATATACTAAAACCTGAAAACGTTGCTGAAAGAAATAGAAGTTTAAAATAAATGGTGAGATATTGCATTATGCTGTTTTAAAATACTGAATTGGTATTCTCCCCAAATTCATCTGTTTTGACACAATGCCTATAAAAATTCCAGCATTTTCTCTTCTGTAAAATTGATAAGCAAATACTAAACTTTACCTGGAAATGCAAATAACCTAAAATATTAATAAAATATATTTGAAATATAAAAAAAAGTAAAAAGAGGAAGAGCCAGACCCGTGAATAGGGTGAGGTGAAGGAGGGACTGGTCCAGCAGCGGATGTGCAGAGAGCAAGAGGACAGCCATCATGCATGGCCTGATTGTACACAGGCTCTTTGAAGTAGTAGCCCAGGTACCCAGCTAGCAAGTACAGGGCACAGTGTCCAAAGACTTTCCAGGGCATGTGCTCCTTCCACCTGTTTAAGCCGCTTTAGGGTAGGTTCTTAATTAATTCTAAATATCAGAATGACCTGGTTTGGTGCTTCATCCAATTTTTCTATTTTCAGCATTTTATTCTCATTCATATATTTCTCTTGCTTATCTCCTTGTATGTCTGGAAGTTCTTGGTTTCATTTGCTCTAGTATTTTGGGGATTACCAAATGTCAGGGTGTCCGTCATGGCTCTACACTTAAGGATCTGCCCTCAAGGAGTAAACTGTATGGCTTTTGGCATCTAAAGAAAAATATCACATTAGTTATTGGCTGCCATTTCTTAAGTGTGTACTATCTTTGGATATTGTGCATTATCCAATTTATTTTTCCAATCCCATGAGGTATGTGCTAGTGGTATCTCTGTCCACAGGTAAAGTGCCAGAAGATTGGGACTATAACGTTATATTAATGTATTGGCTGCTTTATTAGTTTACTACAGTTGCCATAACAAGGTTTCTCAGTCTGAATGGCTTAAACAACAGAAAACTGTTTTCTCAGTTTTGGAGGCTGGAAGTCTGAGATCAAGGCTCCCCAGCAAAGTTGTTTCCTTCTGAGGGAGGGCTGTGAGGGAATGACGGGTTCTAGGCCTCTCTCTTTAGCTTACAGATGGCCATCGTTCCCACAAACGTGTGTTCCTTCTGTACTTGTTTGTGTCCAAATTTCCTTTTCTTTAAGGGACACTAGTCATATTGGAGTAAGGCCTACCCACTCCCCAATGATCTCATTTTAATTTAATTACATGTTTAAAGACTCTATCCCTAAATATGGTTACTTTCTGAAGGTTGTGGGAGGAATAAAAATTCTCCCCATAATAGCTGTCTTCCTTTAAGTAGAACAGCCCGTAGAAATCAGAGGTGTATGCTTCCCTTCCTGGGACTAGGCCTAGTTTTGGTTCTTTGATAATAAGGAATGAGAACAAAAGAAACTAAGAAGATGGGTTAATGTTTAAACTTCTATTTTAAAAATGATTATAGGGGAGGGTATAGCTCAAGTGGTACAGTGCATGCTTAGTATGCGGAAGGTCCTGGATTCAATACCCAGTACTTCCTCTAAAAATAAATCTAATTACTCCCCCCCCAATAAAATTATTAAATAATACAATAATACATAAAATATTTTTAAAAAATTACATAGTAGCTACTGCAAATCCAGGTCTCATCCATAGTCATGCCTTTTAGCCTTTCACTTGGGCAGACCTGGATTGCTGACCCTCTGGGAAGGGGAGAGTGAGCAGAGAGGTTATTACTATGTAGGTTATTACTGTGTAGGTTATTACTATGGATTTTTGCCTCATTAGAAATTAAAACTGGAAAAAACATTCATTGTGGTTAATCATTTTAAAATTACAATAAACTCATTCTAATGTACTTGTTTTATGCAGATGGCTACACTTTTCAAAATAAAAAAATTAGTGAGCAGAGTGGCATTGTTTTACAGCTTGCAAATATCTTTTTTTTAATTGTAGTCAGTTTACAGTGTGTCATTTTCTGGTGTACAGCATAATGTTTCAGTCATACATAGACATACATATATTCATTTTCATTATAGGTTACTACAAGATATTGAATATAGTTCCCTGTGCTATACAGAAGAAACTTGTTTTAAGTTTGCAAATATCTTTAAAGTCTGACTTAATAGAAGTCAGCCAGATTCTCGTACTTGTTTTTGCATTCAATTTGTTGCAATCTAACTGTCAAGTGGACATTGAGAATGGAAAAGGAAAATAAGTTTCAGGATAATTATAAAAACAATTTTGTACTCACAGATCCACAAAAAGGATCTCTGGGACCCCCTAGGGGTCCCCAGACCACATTTAGAGAATGACCATCTTTGGGACAAAAAGAAAGCTAACATTTCATTTATTTATTTAGTAACCATATTGTTGGTGGTACTATTGAGGATGGCTGTGGCAGAAACTGCTATGCAGGATAGTTTGAGAATGCCCTGGGAATGAGAGTTTGGACTGATTCCCAACCACGGCGGTCATTAAAATGAAAGTTGTTGTCCTGAAATGAAATTTTAGTTCACAAAGCATCAATGACTTTCTCAGGGAGCTCTTATTTTGAGACTGGATTCTATAGCATTGCAGGAGGTGGCCCTTTCCTGCATGCAAGCAAAACACACCCTTGAGATTTGCAAGGATGAGCACTTTCTGGAAAACAAGATGCTCATTTCAGGATGTAGGGCACAAAGACTTGGGAAAAGATGAGTAGACAGATATCAAATTTCACCACGTGAAATTCTTATTCAGCTCATCATAGTGTTTCTTCCAATTGATGATTCTCAGAGTCGTGGCTTTTTAGACGCTGAATTTATTCCAGTGGACAACTACAGCTGTTCTGTTTGCTTAGTTTTGATTCGCCAATTACACTACTTACACAGTGGGGATTCTTTCAAGCTTTCTTGCCTCTCTCACCCTAAGTCTTGCCATTGTTACACCAACATCGGAGATCATCCTTGCTTTCAGTCAGCATGATGTCCTAGACGCATCAGGATATCCCTTGTCTCAAAACCTGCAATCAGGTCCTCTTCAAGGACTTTAGTTTCCTGAATAGAGGTGGGAACCTCCACGCCAGGGTTTATGTTAGATTATTCTGGGAGAGCACTGAAACACCTGGCTGATTCAGGGGACTTTGAGAACACGTTAATGACAAGCTAAAAACAGTTTTTCAAGGCTAAGCCCATGTTACTTTTTTTTTTTGAAAGTCTCTTATCTTATCCCAGAATAAAAAATATTTTTAAATCAAACTCACTTTTCTTCTTGAGCTGATAGCTTCACTCTTATGCCATGTAAAACCACCTTACCAAGGTTAATTTACCAGATTTGGGGGGTGATTTACCAGATTTGGGGGTGCCTATCTAAACAATGTGTTTTAAAAATAGTATTATTAAAATGTTTATAAAGCATACTACAACGGACTCTTATCCAGGCATACAATTTAAAAATATCCACAACACATTAGTAATTTTAATATTTCATTTTGAGCTTTTGGAAGAATTACTATAGTCCACAGCTAATAAACATAAGGATGCTCTTACTATGTTGCCTTTTTGCAAGGTATAATTCCAAGTGATTCTCCTAATCATTATCATCTATACCAGTTATTTTAAAAGAAGATGAAATTTTAATTTTTCCAATGCTCATTTCAAGAGAATGACAAAAACTACAGAAGCATAGACTGTCCAGTTTCTGATTATTCTATTAATTCCATTAAATATAATAAAAAGCATAATAGAAATGAGTATAATAGCTGTATATGTATGTATGCATGTATAAAGTGTTTTCTGACTAATGGAATATGAACCTAGAATCTCAAAGGATTAGATTTATTTATATTCTCCATCTCACTGCTGTTCTGTACCATGAGCATAAAATAATCAGAAAATAGACGATCAATGCCTTTGTATTTTTTGTCATCCTCCTGCAGTAAGTGTTGGGAAAAATTAAAATATATTTTAGTGTATTGTGTATAAAGCATATTTTATATGCTTATAATATATATATGCCCATACATGCACACACTCATAGCGCAGTTATTTTAACTACAGGCACCACTGAATTTCAATTTCTTAAGACTTTTTGTCAAATACGGTTATTTATATTTGGCCAAATACATTAACACATACAGAATACCTTAGTTTTCCACTAGTTTATTTTAAAGATGTTAGTTACAAATATTGGGGGGAAAAGTGAATTAAGATAAAACTACAATCAAATTAAGAATTATTTTTAAAAGTCCAGTGTTACATTTATACAGTGTCACCTTCCAATTGGAGTGGAATATTTTTATACAGTTCCATATTTTCAAAATATTCTTTCACAAGAACAAACTAGTAAATGACACTTATATATCTGGGTTACATTTTAAATGTAGCTTCAAGTTCTCACCACACATATATATTCTAGTTTTTGGTGTAAATTTATGTTTTTTTTCCCTTGAACAAGTGCAAAGACATTAGAATTTATTATTGAATGTTTTGTATTATGCAAAATTGAATGAATGGGCCATGCCTATACTCTCAATATTATATTCTGTATTATTTTTGGAAATAAAGTAGACGGGATATAATACCTTTTTTTAAGAATTAAAACATACCCAGAAAACCCTTAACTTATTCATGGATATTTTCCTTCCTTATAAGCGCATGAGAAAATCTTCCGGAAATATTTTGTCTCTATTTTATTATAACATACATTAAAATCATACCTTTTTAATATCATGTCCAATTTAAAAATTCAGATATTTGACATTTTAAATCACCTAAAAAAAATAAAGTTTCAAAAAAGATGTGTATCATACCCATTCAACCTTGAATGTGAGGCCTTAAACAAATATTCAAAGTAGTTTTTCCCTTCCCCCTTTCAAGACTTGAGCCTTGAGACTTTTCATGGCTAGTCACTCATTTCTGTCTTAGCATATTGCAAATTAAACTTATTAGGTCACCTGTATATTTTCACATGGAATTGGAACAAATAGGAAATTTTGCAGCAAGTGGCCAATTGGTAGAATAGCATACTTTTGGGGGAAACGTTTCCACACTTATTGGCCTGCAAAGAACAAGAATTTTAAATGCCATTTGTAAAGGTTTAAAATGAAGAGATGGATTTTGACTTCCTGAATTGAGAATAGGGGAACAGCCTTTCTTCTCTACTTAATAATTTTCTTTTAAAACTCATTCCAATTAATAGAGAAATAGTTAAGTCCAAGTGACACAAATAGAGAAGGAAAACATGGAGCAGATTCTGACACGAAAGGCAGGGAGTAGGACCTAATCCCTCCAGTACAGAGTAATTTCACTCAGAAATTAGGGAGTGGAGAAACTGGCAGAGATCTTCCCACAAATCCGCACTGCCCCAAATTCTCCCAATTAGGACAGACTCACAAAGGGAAACCGTTGGTTAATTTCAAACTACGCGCGCAGCTTCTGGATTGGCTACCGATACAACGTGGCAACTGGTCGATGCGTGCAATGATTTGAATTGGATTCTCGCTTCCATTTCTTACTTCTGCCTTTTCTAACTTAATATTTGGGAAATCCAAACTCAGGGAAAGGGGAGGAAAGTCAGCACAGCTCCCGAAAGGAAACAAAACGAGTTATGGCTTTCTTATTGCGTGCCAAACATTACATGAGTCAGGTATCTACACGTTAAAGTTAAGGAAGGAGCGTTCAGGTCGTTGTAAAGAAACTTTTTGCCAAATTGAAATTTTTAAACGGGAGCCAACTTTGCTTTTGGACAAAGGATATTTTGTCTTCTTTACTACGCTTATCTGATAATGAATCTTATCCTTCTGGACATAAAGACATAAAAATGTCTCGCGCATGCTGCAGCACCACGTACACTGTAGTGGAAGTAATTTTTAACAAGATCAAAATAAGGAAACGCGGAACTTGTTTCTTTGCAGCAAACAAGAACCACTTGCTGCAGGAAGTGAGTGTCAGTTCTCTTTAGAATACTGAGTGGCTCTGAAAAGAGCCTTTGGGGTGTGGGCCAAGCCTTACCGATCGCTCCGCTGCGGGCTGACTCACTTGGAGCTGGTGTACTTGGTGACGGCCTTGGTGCCCTCGGACACAGCGTGCTTGGCCAGCTCCCCAGGCAGTAGCAGGCGCACGGCCGTCTGGATCTCCCGGGAAGTGATAGTCGAGCGCTTGTTGTAGTGCGCCAGGCGCGACGCCTCGCCCGCGATGCGCTCGAAGATGTCGTTGACGAACGAGTTCATGATGCCCATAGCCTTGGACGAGATGCCGGTGTCCGGGTGAACCTGCTTCAGCACCTTGTACACGTACACCGAGTAGCTCTCCTTGCGGCTGCGCTTGCGCTTCTTGCCGTCCTTCTTCTGCGCCTTGGTCACCGCCTTCTTGGAGCCCTTCTTCGGGGCCGGGGCGGACTTGGAGGGTTCAGGCATGGTCGGAAACTAAATACTGAACAATTCAAAAATAACAGGAAAGATGGGTGTGCGGCTGTACGTGTCTTCTTCCTTCACGGCTACTTAAACGAAGGAGGCAGTGAGTAGAGCCGTGTTGTCTGATTGGTGGTAAGTCCCGGACACGTCATATAAAAGTTTTGTCCAATCAAAATAAGTATATTTCAAAACCGCGATTTCATTGGGTTAAGTAAAACTGTAGTTTCAGCCAATGGTACACTTTCATTTTCGCGCCCAGAAAAGACTATAAGTAGGGTAGCTCCGAGTGAATCAACTAAAACTGTGTTTAGGTTGGTGGATTATAATTCCGTGATGTCTGGACGAGGCAAGCAAGGAGGGAAGGCTCGCGCCAAGGCCAAGACTCGCTCCTCGCGGGCCGGGCTCCAGTTTCCGGTGGGTCGCGTACACCGTCTGCTCCGCAAAGGCAATTATGCTGAGCGTGTTGGTGCTGGCGCGCCGGTTTATCTGGCGGCGGTGCTGGAGTACCTGACGGCCGAGATCCTGGAGCTGGCGGGCAACGCGGCTCGCGACAACAAGAAGACGCGCATCATCCCGCGCCACTTGCAACTGGCCATCCGCAACGACGAGGAGCTCAACAAGCTGCTGGGTAAAGTCACCATCGCTCAGGGTGGCGTCCTGCCCAACATCCAGGCCGTGCTGCTGCCCAAGAAGACCGAGAGCCACCACAAGGCCAAGGGCAAGTAAGAAATCTGGTATCCTTTGCAACTAAGATCTGTCCAAAAACCAAAAGGCTCTTTTCAGAGCCACCCACTGTATCAAAAGAGGAGCTGTGCTTTCGAAACCACATTGTGTGGAATGCTAAGATG